GGAAATCCATGGTGTGTCCAAAGTCGCTTGCACATGAAGACACGCCCCAAAGAAACATGTGGCAACTCCCTATGGCTGTGATTTATTCTCAAACTGAATCCATGATTTATTCTCATTGGATTTCGCAAATGTTCACCTCCAAAGGAGATGGGAGAAGGGCCAAAGGCAATATAATATGCTTCCCAAACCAAGAACTACTACTCCTGGCAAACAAAATGCACCATTGAGCCAAATAACCTTTTACAATACTGCACTCTCAGGCTGATAAGTTTCAGCTATTTTTCTTACAACTGCAAATCCTGGCATGAAATGGTCCAGCTTTATCAAATTGGAAGGGAGGCGGAGGACTTTTAAAAGATTTGTGACTTAACTCCTACTTTTTCTCCTCTTCCCAGCTGTTCCTCTCTGAAAGAAATGCAACTGCCCAACAATCTATATAAATAAAAATGTAATGTTTGTTTGTGGAATTCACATAACTCAAAAACCACTGGACTGATTGACACCAAATTCGGACACAATATACCTATAAGGCCAACAAGTGACCATCACTCATAAAACACTGAAAAACACAGCAGAAGAGATTAAAAATCCCAAAAATAAAAAATACATTACAATGCATGTGCGAAACCACACACACACATATACATGCAAACACACATATATACACATATACACAAATATATATATACACACACACACATAAAAGACATATACACAGACTGAGCCACAGCAACGCGTGGCAGGGGATGGCTAGCAGTGTAATAAAATGGTATCCCCTTCCTTATACACAATCACAAAATCAAGGTTTGTGTTTTCCTGCTATATATGTATTTCCCTAGCCATGGATAGTTGAATCCCTGATTATGGTGAGCCAACTATCAAAGCAGAGAAAATACTATTAATTAATTTTTAATGCATATTTGTTTGGTAAACATATATGTTGTCCAGGCTTTCAATCCTCCTAAAAACTCCAAGGTGGAATATAATTAAAACACATTTTTTTTAAAAAAAAACTTGGAAAACCAGAAAACATTAAAATTGACAATCCAAAAGTATTAGGCAGCAAGACACTTCATGATCTCATCTACACTCGTTTCCAGATAATGGCTTTCTTCTGATTTTTGGACTGCTGTTTCCATTCTGATGGGAAATCTCAAACTATTTCAATGTCTTCATCATCAACAAGCCAATAACCTCTGATTAACAGCAAGTCCTATTTTGGTGTGTGATCATGTTCCTTCTGGCTGCCAACACAGAATATATCAATTTCTTCAATATGTTGGACTACAAATCCCATCATCCCTCCCCATTGTCAAAGCTATCTAGGGCTCATGGGAACTGCCATTTCCATTTTCTCCAACTTCAGAAAGATGTATCTATACTCCCAAATTAATACAGTTTGACTCCACTTTAACTGTAATGGCTCAATGCTATAGAATCCTAAGATCTGTAGTGTAGTGTGACTCCAGCACTCTTTGGCAGAGAAGGCTAAAGACCTTGTAAAACTACAACTTCTGTGAATCCATAATACTGAGCCATGGCAAAACAACTATCAAACTGCATTCACTCTACTGCAGTGTTTCTCAACCTGGGGGTCGGGACCCCTGAGGGGGTTGCAAAGAGGTGTCAGAGGGGTCGCCAAAGACCATCAGAAAACACGGTATTTTCTGTTGGTCATGGGGGTTCTGTGTGGGAAGTTTGGCCCAATTCTATCATTGGTGGGGTTCAGAACACTCCTTGATTATAGGTAAACTATAAATCCCAGTATCTACAACTCCCAAATGTCAAAGTCTATTTTCCCCAAACCCCATCAGTGTCCACATTTGGGCATATTGAGCATCCATGCCAAGTTTGGTACAGATCCATCATTGTTTGAGCCCACAGTGCTCTCTGGATCTACGCGAACTACAACTCCCAAACTCAAGGTCAATGCCCACCAAACCCTTCCAGTATTTTCTGTTGATTATGGGTGTCCTGTGTGCCAACTTTGGTTCAATTCCATTGTTGGTGGGGTTCAGAATGGTCTTTGTTTACATGTTAACTATAAATCCCAGCAACTACAACTCCCAAATGACAAAATCAATCCCCCCGCCAACCCCACCAGTATTTAAATTTGTGCATACCGGGTATTTGTGCCAAATTTGCTCCAGTGAATGAAAATACATCCTGCAGATCATTGTTTACATGGCGATTCATAATTTTAGGATTATGGTTGGGGGTCACCACAACATGAGGAACTGTATTAAGGGGACATGGCATTAGGAAGGTTGAGAACCACTGCTCTACTGCATAGAGATGCACCCTTGATCTACTGCATTATCTTTAGCTGAGCAGTGAGCTCTAAGAGACATCTAGTGGAAAAGTGTACAATTGCAGTGGAAGAACATACATGTTTTTGGGTTGCTTTGAGTATTCCGGGTTGTATGGCCATGTTCCAGAAGCATTCTCTGTGGACATTTCGCCCACATCTATTGCAGGTATCCTCAGAGGTTGTGAGGTTTGCTGGAAATTAGGCAAGTGGGGTTTATATATCTGTGGAATATTCGGGGTAAGAACTCTTGTCTGTATGAGGCAAGTGTGAATGTTGCAATTGGGTAGTTTGATTAGCCTTGAATAGCCTTGCAGGTAGTCTGTGGTTTGCTCTTCTCCATACTTGCATGTTGTGGATTCCACGTCGTGGCCCCATTTCTTAAGGTTGGCTCTGCATCTCGTGGTGCCAGAACGCAGTCTGTTTAGCGCCTTCCAAGCAACCAGAAGTGATGGCAGATTTGACAAGAAGCAACTGGAAAAGCTGACACATTATGAGGATTTAAAGATCAAACTGCAAGGACTCTGGCACAAGCCAGTAAAGGTGATTCCAGTGGCGATCAGCTCACTGGATGCAGTGCATAAAGACCTTGGCCTGCATGTAAAAAAAAAGAGGGGGGGGCGTAACAAATTACCACCTGTCAGCTGCAAAAGACCACCCTACTCGGATCTGCATGCATTGTTTGCCAATACATCACACAATCCTAGACACTTGGGAAGTGTCCGACGTGTGATCCAATACAAAAGCCTGCACAGTGATCTTGTTTGCTGTGTACCAATCTTGTTGCGTATCTAATTATTATTATTGACACAAAAGCACAGTGTGTCACAGCAAACACGATCTATATGCTGGATTTCTTATCACAAAATCACAAGTCAAACACTTCCCAAGCATCTAGGACTGTGTGATGTATTTTCGAATGATGTGTGCAGATCCAAGTCAGGTGGCCTTTTGCAGTTGACAGATCGTGATTTTGTCGATGTTTATTGTTTCCAAATGCCGCTGAGATCTTTTGGCATGGCACCCAGTGCACCAATGACCACTGGGACCACCATTATTATTATTATTATTATTATTATTATTATTATTATTTTATATCCCGCCACCATCTCCCCGAAAGGACTCGGGGTGGCTTACAAAGGCACTCCAGGGTGCATATAAAACATACAACAGGTAAAAACAAAAACAAGTCACATAAAATTATAGCAACAACACATATAATATAAAATTAAAATAAAACAACAGTATATACATAAAACTAGCTATAGATAATAATAGTAGATAATAATAGTTGATAATAACAACAACAACTGACAGCTGCAAAAGGCCACCCTACTGGGATCTGCACGCATTATTTGCCTATACATCATAGTACAAGACACTTGGGAAGTGTCTCGTACTTCCCAAGTGTCTCGTACCTCCCAAGTGACCTCACAACCTCTGAGGATGCTTGCCATAGATGCAGGTGAAACGTCAGGAGAGAATGCTTCTAGAACATGGCCTTATAGTTTGAAAAACCTACAACAACCCACTTGGGAAGTGTCCAGCGTGTGATCCAAAACAACAACCAGCATAGTGACCTTGTTATTTGAAACACCAATCTTATGTTTCAAATAATAATAAGTGAGTTGTAGTCTTAAAACCTTGTTTGAGTGTTGGATGATGACTCTGGATATACCAGGATCCAAATTCCTACTCAGCCATGGAAACCCAGGGGTAAAGACCTTATAAAACTATAACTCCTATTATTCCATAACATTTAGCATAGTGGTTAAAGTGGCATCAAATCTGTTAATTGTTTTTTTTATTCGGAATATGTGGCCTGCCCACTGTCATCTCTATCGTGATTGTGTCTATTGGAATTTTTATTTTATTATTACTATTATTATTATTTTATTATTATTTTAATGTCTGATTTATATGCTTTGATTTTATTGCTGTATTATGTTGTCCGGGCTTGGCCCCATGTAAGCCGCTCCGAGTCCCCATCGGAGAGATAATGGCGGGGTAGAAATAAAGATTATTATTATTATTATTATTATTATTATTATTATTATATCACATTTATTCTACGGCATAGATGCACCCTTGGATATGGTTGTCATGGGTTCTATCCTCCACTGAGACACAAAACTCCTTTGAGTCAGGGCCCTTCCACACAGCCATATAACCCAGAATATCACGGCAGAAAATCCCACAATATCTGCATTGCTCTGGATTATCTGAGTCCACGATGCCATGTATTTCAGTTCAAAGTAGATAATGTGGGATTTCATACAATTGTGTGGAAAGAGCCTGAGTCTTATTCATATTCCTATAGTTTGGTGAGACACCAACAAACACTCTTTGGCAGAGAAGGTGAAAAACCTTGTAAAACTACAACTCCTGGGATGCCAAAGCGTTCAGCCATGGAGGTTAATGTTGCGTTGGACTGCATTGATTCTACAGTGTAGATAAGTGGTCCCCAACCTTTTTTCTGGCCATAACCCTCCTAAGCAGCTCTAAATACCCTGTGCCTCCCCTCCGGGATGCTAGGAATTGTGGGAATCAAAGTCCAAAACATCTGGAGGGCTGAAGTTTGCCCATGTCTGGTGTAGCTGCATCCTTTCTTTCTTTCTTCTTCTCTTGCACATCTGGGAGGCTTGGTCTCCTGCAGCCGCCAGAGGGCCCTGGGTATCGCTTTAGGAAGGAGGAGGAGAGGGGAAATAGCCCTGCTCTCTCCTCTGTGGATGTTTCCTCTGCTCCGGGCATCTGGCTTTGAGCTTCCTGGGTGACTCGGATGCAGCCTTAGCAAAAGGACCAAGATAGATGTGCTCCTCCTGCAGCAAAGGCTGGGGTCCATGGCAGCACTGGGGAGACCTTTGCCACCCCCCATCTCTGCCGGACCAAGGTGGGGAGCTGTTCTGGCCTGTCACCTCGCCATTGATGCTAGAGGCAATGCATTTGAGCATGGCAGAGAATGGAAATACAAAGGTTATTATAAGGGAAGGGGGGATTTGGGTTGTCTCTGCAAATGCCCACTAAACAGATGCTTTATGCTTCCTTGCAGGCTCAAGATTTGCAAAATGTAAGCTCAAATGATTTGCAAGATTCAGCCTCAAGATAATGGGATCTTCGTGATGTGAAAATAAGCAGAAGTAAATAACTTGCTAAACATAAGGTGCACATGTTTTGATTGGTTGGTGTCGGATAAATGTAGTTTCTGGTTGCTTGGGAGTTACTATTAAAAATAGACCTAACTAATGCTATAGCCCAGGCATGGGCAAACTCTGGCCCTCCAGGTGTTTTGGACTACAACTCCCACAATTCCTAACAGCCATCTATGCTTGCCATAGATGCAGGCAAAATGTCAGGAGAGAATGCTTCTAGAACAGTGGTTCTCAACCTGGGGTCCCCAGATGTTTTTGGCCTTCAACTCCCAGAAATCCTAACAGCTGGTAAACTGGCTGGGATTTCTGGGAGTTGTAGGCCAAAAACATCTGGGGACCCCAGGTTGAGAACCACTGTTCTAGAACATGGCCATATAGCCCAAAAAACCTACAACAACCCAGCCTACCGACTGTTAGGAATTGTGGGAGCTGTAGTCTATGGGAAAAACTCCAGGAGGGCTGGAGTTTTTCCCATACCTAGGCTATAGCCGCATACTATACCTTACCATAATGTCTGTGTTGACAGGATAATAATATTGAAAGCAACTACAGAGAAACTGACAAAAGGGATGCCAAAATCCCCTTTAAAAATATTTAATATATATATGGGCATATGTTGTTGTTATTTGATTTTATTGAATATATGCACTTACCATGTGTTTACCTCTGTATCTATATTTCAACGTTTGGATTGTGTGTTTACATGTTGTAACCCGCCTTAGGTCTGCATGTGGAGAAAGGCGGGGTGCAAATATCTTAAATAAATAAATAATAATATTAAATGTATGGCAGACTCTCAGGCCCCTTCTACACTGCCGTAGAATTCATATTATCAAAGCAGACCATCTTCGTTACCAGCTTTAAACTGGATTATATGAGTCTACACTGCCATATCATCCTGTTCAAAGCAGATAATCTGGTTTTCATATGGCAGTGTAGAAGGGGCCAAAGTTAACACCCGGGGATTGGTAGCTGCGAGAAAAATGTAGCTTTTGGTTGCTTAAAAAGAAGCCTCACTAATACTATACCCCATACATTCTGTATTGACTTGTAATTAGTGTTTAAATACTAGAATTAAAAACAAATAAATGTAATGTAACACAGTTTTTACTGTAATATAAAAACAGCTTTTTTAATTTAAAGAATTATTTATTTGGCATTTTTGTCAGTTGCTTGATATTTCTGGTTTCTAGTTGCTCAAGTTCCGGTTAACCATGAGCCCACTGAAATTGGCTGGTTTTCAGATAGAAGGAAAAAATTTAAAATATGGAGGAACTGATCAAATTGAAGCAAGGAATCCTTTTTTAAAACTAATGGATGTGTGTGCGCGTGTGTATAGGTGTTTGTTGTTGTTGCTGTTACTATAGTAGCTTGGGAACCCACCCGGCGATGCCTGGGTGACTTGAGAAAGGCATTGTTTCTTTTGGGAAGTTTGGTAATATCTCTGGATGCAGGGTGAACTACAATTCCCGTGCGGGCAGGTCATTCTCCCCAAACCCCTCCAGTCTGTTATGTTGGCCCGGATTATTTGAAAAAGGCCCTGTTTGTTTTGGGGAGTTAGGTAATATCAGTTTGGTAATTTTTAGCTGTATTTCTTAGAAAAAAGCCAGACTTTCCTATTGTTTTTTATGACTGCTCCCATTAGAAAATGCATAAGGACATGGGTGAACTGCAATTCCCAAAATAATGGGCCAATCACCCCAAACCCCACCAGTATTCAAAGCTGGCCATGTTGGGTCTGTGTGCCAGGTTTGGTCCAAATCTGTTGTCGGGTGCATTCAGAGCTGTCTGGATAAGGGTGAACTACAACTCTCAGATCAGAGGTCATTAACCCCCAAATATTCTTTTCCTCTCAGATGCCAGAGGTTCACAAGGTAGAAGCTGAATTTCATGAACACACCCAACTTCCGGCTCGAGAGTTCTCTACTGGAATATCATGCAGGAGAATTATGAGACACTAATCTCTTTGGGTAAGGACCTGTCACTGATCGTACATATTGTTGGGTATTGAACGAAATAAAAGGTAAGTTGCAGGGCTAGAAACACATTGGAATCCAACCTAGTTCCTGCAAGACTAGCATTAGGTAGTCCTTTAAATACATGCTCTGGAAGCCAAGAGGACTAAATCGAGGCTGTTATACTTTGGCTATATCACGAGAAGAGATCATTCACTTTAAAAAAAAGATAATGTTTGCAGCGTGAAGGGCAGTTGAATCATAGAATCATAGAGTTGGAAGAGACCTCATGGGCCATCCAGTCCAACCCCCTGCCAAGAAGCAGGAAAATTGCATTCAAAGCACCCCTGACAGATGGCCATCCAGCCTCTGTTTAAAAGTCTCCAAAGAAGCTTCTCTGCCACACTCCAAGGCAGAGAGTTCCACTGTGAACAGCTCTCACAGGAAGTTCAGGTGGAATCTCCTTTCCTATAGTTTGAAGCCATTGTTCCGCGTCCTAGTCTCCAGGGCAGCAGAAAACAAGCTTGCTCCCTCCTCCCTGTGACTTCCCCTCACATACTTATATATGACTATCATGTCTCTTCTCAGCCTTCTCTTCTTCATGGTAAACATGCCCAGCTCTTTAAGCCGCTCCTCATAGGGCTTTTTCAGTAGAAGAAAAGGAAAACTGTGTTCAAGTGGGTAGACTCAATCAAGTGGGAAGCTAGGGCTCGGGGTCGGCAAGAGAATGGTGCAACTTGAGATGTGTCTACATTGCAGAACTAACGCAGTTTGACACAATTTTAATAGCCATGGTTCAATGCTATCGAATCCTGGGATTTGTAGTTTGGTGAGGTTCCAGCATTCTTAGCAGAGAAAGCTAAATGTCTTGTAAAATGACTATTCCCATGATTCCCATAGCATTTAGCCATGGCAATTAAAGTGGTGTCAAACTGCATTACTTCTTGAGTGTAGAGGTCTCCCATATGTCAAAGTTGACTTGAAGGCAGCAACAACAAAATGCAGACTTGACAATAGTCTAGCCATTACTTTTGAGCTACTAGTTGTAGTTTCTGATCTAATCTGAAACACTTTAGTGGCCTAATTGGAAGGCAATTTATGAATGAACCACTGTAATCAGCTTTACTCTTCCCCAAAAGGGCTTTAATGGTGCATCAGTCAAAACATGCATTTTTCAAAATCGGCCTCTGGACCTATTGAGGTTGTCAACTCCAAAACCACAGAGGCCAACAGGCAGTAGCTCCCCAAGATAATGGTATAGAACAGTGTCAGAAAGACAGATGTCTACAGCTTTGAAGCAAACGAAACTCACCAGCCTGCTTTGTATTCTAATCATATCTTCTCAACTCTTTTCTGTTAGCAGAAGAGATGGCCATCAGCTTGCCCCGGATCACTGCATTGGCCGAGTCCCATCGGAGAGGACTGGCATCAGGTATAAGTCACCCGTGTGACTGTGCTTCACCTAAAACAAAACTGAAACGGTATCTTATTAGCGTCATCAGTACAAACAAGAAACTGACATTCTGAATCTGCAAAGCTGGCTTTTAATTTTTGAAAGATTTTCTTTTGAAATGTTTGGGAGTATTTGGAAAATGTGTACAACCTGGTTATACAGGAATGTGTTTATTTATTTACAGATTTGTTTATCAAAATAGGTAAGATCCAGCCTTGTTAAATCAGACTGAAGTCCTGTCTAGTCCAAAACACATACCTTGATTTTGTCACTCACTAAGCATTACATGAATGTGTCATCAAAGGCTTTCATGGCCGGAATCATTGGGTTGCTGTGAGTTTTCCGGACTATATGGCCATGTTCCAGAAGCATTCTCTCCTGACGTTTCTATAGTAGGCATCCTCAGAGGTTGTGAGGTCTGTTGGAAACTAGGTAAGTGGGGTTTATATATCTGTGGAATGTCCAGGGTGGGAGAAAGAACTCTTGTGTGAATGTGGTGGCCAATTGCAGGTGTGTATGTGGTGGCCAATTGCAATAATATTCACACCTGCCTCAAACAAATAAGAGTTATTTCTCCCACCCCTGGACATTCAATAGATATATAACCCCACTTGCCTAGTTTCCAACAGACCTCACAACCTCTGAGGATGCCTGCCATAAATGTGGGTGAAACATCAGGAGAGAATGCTTCTGGAAGATGGCCATACAGCCTGGAAAACTCACAGCAACCTACTACATGAACGTTTAGGCAAAGCCTGCTGTAGCCTCTTGCTGTTTCACAGATCCTCCGACTTGCTGGCATTCATTTTATATAAGGGATGCATTTTGCTATGCCTCTCTATACAATGGGACTTGAGCATCCACAGATTTTAGTATCCATAGGATGTCCTGGCACCAAACTCCATCAAACTGCAATGACCTACTGTATATAGGAAGACTCTGCTAAGGGACTCTACATGCAGTATATTCCATCAGCAATTATAATGGGTGTTTTAGTCTAAGAATATCTGGAGGAGCACTGCTGTCCACTGCTGACTCACAAGGAAGTACTATAATAACTGTGGAGAAGGATTGAATATTCTTCCAGGCACGGAAGTTTAAAATTTGTTTTCTCTGATCAACAGGATTTCCACTTTCCAAACCTGACCTGCTGTCCTGGGTGGACCGAGGGGAAAACCCATGGGCTCCTGACCTTCAGGATTCTTTGGGAATAGAAGGGTCAACTGCTATTCAACCAGGTAAAAAACCTTTCCCTTTATATCCTGAATTTTCATCAGGAATAAAATTCAGTGTACCTTACAACAAGATAAAAATGGTAAAGAGAAAAATACAAAAAGGTTTCTTGTTAAAACACCACTGCAGTACATTAATTACATCCTTAAAATAGGGATTTTACATTGGTACAGGATGAGTACCCCTTATCTGAAATGCTTGTGATCTGAAGTGTTGTGGGTTTCAGATTATTATTATTATTATTATTATTATTATTATTATTATTATTTTGGAGTACTTGTAATTACATAGATGTACATGGTGGTGCAGCAGGTTAAAATGCTAAGCTGCAGAACTCGCTGACCTGAAGGTCAGTGGTTCGAATCTGCAGGATGGCGTGAGCTCCTGTTGTTAAACTCAGATTCTGCCATCTAAGCAGTCTGGAAAAATTCAAATGTGATTAGATCAAAAGGTACTACTTCAGCGGGAAGGTAATGGCGCTCCATGCAGTCATGCCGGCCACATGACCTTGGAGGTGTCTACGGACAACGCCAGCTCTTCAGTTTAGAAACAGAGATGAGCAGCACCCCCCAGAGTTGGACTCAACTAGACTTAATGTCAAGGGGAAACCTTTACCTTTCGTGATGATATATCTTGGCAATGGGACCCAAGTCTAAACTGAAAATCCATTGATGTTTCATAAGCACTTTGTACATATAGCCTGCAAGTAATTTTATACAATATTTAAATCGTTTTGAGCGTGAAATAAAGTATGTGCACGTTGAACCATCCAAAAAGCAAAGGTATCACTATTTCAAACATCCATATGGATGATTTTGAAGTAGTTCAGATTTTGGAATTCCAGATGAAGGATTTTTAACTCATATTACTCAAAGAAGCTTAGCTTGTTTTCTACTTCAGTAAGTGTTTGAAAGGGGAGGAGAATATCATGGAAATCATATAAAAGGGTGACACCAAAAGAAAAAGTATCTTTACAAAGCTCCTTCTGATAATGCAAGTGACAGAGTTTGTGACATTTACTTTTTTTTTGGCTACAACTTCCATGCTGGTCTGAGGAATATTATGAGTGGTAGTTCACGAAAAGTATGTTTTCCCATCTCTGAAACGTGCCAGCAACAAGAAATGGGAAAATATTAACTATCTTCCAGAAAGTTCACTGTAGAAAAAGAGAATGAAGTCAACTCAGGTCTCAATTGTTTTGTCTCTTCAGGTAATGAGCTGGGAAGGAAGAATGAAGATATCCCTCAGCAAGAAATACTCAGCAAGGCAGATCAACTGACAGGAGGGACCTCAGAGGAGAACTTGGTTGAAGGAGGGAACAAACTAACTGGGACAATACCGAAATGTTCTACAATAGAAGCAAAGGAACAACTTCAGGCATTGAATACATCCAAAAACCTGTTGCCTCCCGGAAAACCACAAGGAGGTGACAGAAGCCACCATTGTGCCGAATGTGGCAAAAGCTTCAGCCAAAAATCCAACCTTCTGCGGCACCAGAGGCTCCACCTGGATGAGAGGCCCCACAAGTGTGATGAGTGTGAGAAGAGCTTCTCTGAGCCTGAGGCCCTGGCCAAGCACCGCAAGTCTCACGTGGGTGACAAGCCCTACAAATGTGAGGATTGTGGGAAGAGCTTCAGCTGGACCTCCCACCTGGAGAGGCACCGACGGATCCACACAGGGGAGAAACCTTACGAGTGCAAGGAGTGTGGCAAGGCATTCAGTGTAGGGTCACACCTGGAGAGGCACCGTCGGATCCACACGGGGGAGAAGCCGTACCAGTGCACTGAATGTGGGAAAAGCTTCACCGTCAGCTCGACCTTGGTCCAGCACCAGAGGACTCACACGAATGACAAGCCCTATCAGTGTGAGGACTGCGGCAAAGGCTTTAACCTCAGTGCCAACCTCACAGCTCACCAGAGGAAACACCTGGGCCAAAAGCCATATGAGTGTCCCGACTGTGGGAAGAGTTTCAGCTTCACTTCTCACCTGGAGAGGCACCAGCGAATCCACACAGGAGAGAGACCCTATCAGTGCAATGACTGTGGAAAGAGCTTTAGCCGTAGCTCCCATCTGTACCGGCACCAGAGAATCCACACTGGTGAGAAGCCACGGCAATGCATGGATTGTGGCAAAAATTTCTACCTCAGTGCAGCCGCCCTCCAGCACCTGCAGGCCTCCCCAAGTGGGGCAAGGGACCCCACAAAATGTGCTGAATGTAGCCGCAAACGGGTTGCTGCTCTGCCCCTGCCTCCACCGTCACCACCAGCTTGTAGCAAGAAACCCTATAAATGCCCCAACTGCGGAAAAGGTTTTGGCCAGAGCTCGTCACTGGTGAAGCATCAGAGGATCCACACAGGAGAAAGGCCTTATCAGTGCCCAGAGTGTGGAAAGAAATTCAGCTGGTGTTCAGCCCTCATCAAGCACAAAAGGATCCACACAGGTGAGAAGCCATACAGCTGTAATGAGTGTGGCAAAGCCTTCAGTGTCAGCTCACACTTGGAGAGGCACCAACGGGTGCATTCTCCTGACCGCCCCCACAAGTGCACAGAATGCGGGAAAACTTATGGGGAGCTGGCATCCCTGGTCAAGCACCAGAAATCCCATGTGGCTGAGAGCAAGCGCTATCGGTGCCCCGACTGTGGAAAGAGTTTCAGCTGGAGCTCCCACTTGGAAAGGCACCAACGAATCCACACAGGGGAGAAGCCCTACGCTTGCAGTGACTGTGGGAAAAGCTTTAGTGTTAGCTCCCACCTGGATCGCCACCGGAGGATCCATACTGGGGAGAAGCCTTACCGCTGTAACGAGTGCGGCAAGAGCTTCAGTGTCAGCTCCACCCTCCTCCAGCACCAGCGGACCCATTCAAGCGGGAAGCCTCACAAGTGCAAGGAATGCGGGAAACGCTTTGTGGCCAGTGCTCAGCTGCTCACACACCAAAGGACCCACCGGGGTGAAAAACCTTATGAATGCACTGTATGTGGGAAGAGTTTTGGCTTCGTCTCCCACCTGGAGAGGCACCAGAGGGTCCACACAGGAGAGAAACCCTATCAGTGTCCTGAATGCGGGAAATGTTTCAGCCGCAGCTCCCATCGCAACCGCCACCAGCGTACTCATACTACTGACCGTACTCCAAAGGGAAGCATGCGAGGAGCAACTGACGGAGGGAAAGGAGGGGATTACTCCTCTTCCTCTCAATCCAGGCTCCCCAAGGAAATGGTTTCTGGTATCCCCGAACCCCCGCTTTCTCTCATGCCACCTTGGTGGAGTGAGGCAGACAGGAGTGGCAACCCTTCAGTTGCTTCCATGTGGTCTGAGACACCAAGTCCTTTCCATGCCCCCATTATGCCCAATCCTGCCCCACCCGCGGGGTTAAGGGGATGGGGCATGAAGGGGTTCCTGCCTCCAGAGACATGGAGATTGGGAGAAAGCAGCTCCGGCTGGGTGTCCACACTCATGCAAGAAGGGTGGCCACAGCCTCCCCCAACATCCTAACTAAATCATCAGACTTGGCAGGGTGAGCTGGACTGGTCTCAGAATGGAGACAGAGAACTAACCCAACCATTCTGGAAAAGCACATGGCACAGTTTGTTTGTGGGGTGATGCCACTTCAGAACTGGGGCTGAGAGGTGGAAAAGAGACATAACTGGGTGAACTGGGTGGGGTCATTTGTCGTTCTGTGATTCGCATAAGAAGAAAGCTAGTGTGTGATTCTGAAGAAACAGAGCTTTGGAAACTTAATTTGTTACTGTTATTCAACTACGGTTCCCAGTATTCTCCATAATGGGATCATGAGAAGTTATACCCCCTCAAAAAATGGAAATTTACTAATCTCCGAGAAGAATGCTGTATTGTATGTGAATCCAACCTTCTTCTGAGGATCCAGGATTAATTTAGTTTGACACTATTTTAACTACCATGGATAAATCATACCATTTTTTTTTGAAATTTGTGGTTTGGTGAGATACTTGCATTCTTTGGCAGAGAAGGCTACCAAGCTTGCAAAATGACAACTCTTGTGATTCTATAGCATTGAGCCATGGCAGTCAAAAGTGGTGTCAAATTGGATTAATTCTATTGTTTAGATGCATCTTAAGAGAACTTCCTACATAATTGTGAACTACAATGATTTTGGAGATGCAAGTTGTATAATCCCAAGTGGAATATGAAAGGACCTCAGAACCCTCAAGCCAACATATCCATGGACCACTACCCTGAAGACTGATATATACACTACCCAAGCAGCATTGGTCCATCTTACCTGTCTTAAGAGTTGGAAGCGAGCCAAGGACCACCTAGTAGTCCAACCCTCTGTCATGCAGATATTCACAATCACATTTTGCCTAAAATATATCCACTCTACTTCAAGTGGCAATAGTTCACACAGGACATTTAAAGATCTTTCAGAAATCTGCTCCTGAAAGTCTTTTTAAAAGGAGATACTGTACAGAAAATCATTATAAATCCCATACCAATTGCACACAGAATTATAAGGGCTAGAAACTTGTGTTTTTTAAAGCAAAATTTGAATCCTGCATGTGATACCAAATGACACATATACAGCACAATTATGGGATTTTTATGTCCCTGGATACAATATATATTGAGTTGACGTGGTTTGATTGTTGAACTACAGCTCAAGAGACCAAGATAGAAATCCCCCTTTGTCCATGGAAAAACACTGGGTAAGCTTGGACAAGTCACACTCCTTCAGCCTCAGAGGAAGGCAATGGCAAACCCAATGGCAAGACCTCACAATCTCTGAGGAAGCCTGCCATAGTTGCAGGCAAATAGTCAGGAGAGAATGCTTCTGGAACATGGCCATACAGCCTGGAAAACTCACAACAAACCAATGGCAAGAAAACTCCATGATAAGAGTTACCGTAAATGGGAACAACTTGAAGGCACACAACAACTTGGAATGTATTCTAAGTCCCTACACATTATCATCTCACACTTTCTCCAGACTATAACATGCCAGTGTTTCACCATTTAGGCAAGAAAGTCCACTTGCAATAAAGTAGGTAAAGGTTTTCCCCTGACATTAAGTCCAGCCGTGTCCGACTCTGGGGGTTGGTGCTCATCTCCATTTCTAAGCCAAAGAGCCAGTATTGTCCGTAGACACCTCCAAGGTCATGTGGCAGCATAACTGCATGGAGCGTTGTTACTTTCCCGCTGGAGCCGTACCTATTGATCTACTCACATTTGCATATCTTCGAACTGCTAGGTTGGCAGAAGCTGGGGCTGATAGCGAAAGCTCATGCTGCTCACCGGATTCGAACCTGCAACCTTTCAGTCAACAAGCTCAGCAGCTCAGTGGTTTAACCCACTGCGCCACCGGGAGCTCCACTTGCAATATAATCAGTCTATTTATTTACCCTATTTATATCCTGCCTTTCTCTACCCCAAAAGGGACTCAAGGCAGCTTGCAAAGGGCAATATTCAATGCCTTAAAACACATATAAAATATTAAGCTTAAAATAAATTCAATTTAAAATTAGTATGTGTTAAAACATTTAAAACATTACATTCAATATTGTAATATATATCTACGGATATGGAAATACTGGTGGTTATTTATAGAGCACTCTTGCTAAGTATTTTACAGACCTGACTGTGCTTCCTAAAAGGTAGAACACTGATTTACAGGAAGGCAAGGCAGAAGAGAAAAGCTACAGCATGAGACCACAAAAGAGGCACATTTGAATATAGGGTGTCCTGAATCACCGGCTTTCCATCATGAGCTCGATTGTTTGTATAACGGACAATATAACACTACATTTGATCATTTCTGTCCCTGGTTTGAAAGTGTTATTTCCTGTTTAATTGTGAAGTGCTTACTTTGAAAGTAGTTCTTATACTCCAGAAATTTTGCTTTTGTGGCCACCACAAACTGTGTTGCAATTAGTTGAGACTTCATGAGGTATCCATTGAAAAACTAGAGCAAAATGTGCTGCGGGATATGCTGCTAAAACAAGGTTTTTGCAGTTTAATAAGCCTTTTCCATATTTTTATGATAGAACTAATTAGGAAATCACATTTATAACCCAGGAACAAAAATCATGGTACATAGTGGGATTAATTCAGGGAACTAGTTTCTCTGTTGGGCCCATAATTTGTAGCATCAATGACTGAAATAATCAAAACAGGTAACAGTCTACTTAGGAGGTAATTTCCTTCCCTGGATTCTGGAAAGTTGCATCTCTCCTGGCTACACCTGGGATTTTAATCATCCTTCCAGTTTGAGCTGCCAGCTGATCAGAGGAAGAAAAACAGCTTGATTTCCTGGGTCTTTAATAATAGATTGATATGCAAAAAACAGGTGCTGCAAATGTTTGGAGCAGAGAGGTAAGCATTGGTTGCTGATTATTGTAGCTTGAACCGCTGTTAAAACCAGCTGAAAAGCTGGGAACTTTTACTTGCTGGCTTGTTGATTTAGGGCCCTTCCACACAGCCATATAACCCAGAATATCAAGGCAGATAATTCACAATGGAGTCCCCAGTGGCGCAGCGGGTTAAACTGCTGAGCTGCTGAACTTCCTGATCGAAAGGTCAGAGGTTCAAATCCGGGGAGCAGGGTGAGCTCCCGCTGTTAGCCCCAGCTTCGGTCAACCAACAGTTTGAAAACATGCAAATGTGAATAGATCAATAGGTACCACTCCGGTTGGAACGTAACGGCGCTCCATGCAGTCACACTGACCACATGACCTTGGAGGCATCTACGGACAACGCCAGGTCTTTGTCTTAGAAATGGAGATGAACACCACCACATCAGAGTCAAACACAACTAGACTTAATGTTAAGGGGAAACCTTTACTTTTTTGAGTTCACAACATCTGCTTTGAACTGGCTTATCTGAGTTTACACTGGCCAATAATCCAGTTCAATGTAGATTTTATGCAGCTGTGTGGAAGGGGACTTAGGGGTCGAGGACCTGGGGCCTTTTAGCAATGGGAGGAGGTTTCTGCCCTTGGGAAGCTTGGGAATGAGGCAGCTGCCTAAAAGGGGGGGAGGGGGTGTACAGCAGTAATATCCAAGCCCTGCTGTTACTTCTGGGGAGGGTTGCTGGATTGAGACAATGAGACCAGTCCTGTGCTTTTAATGGTTGTGCAGAAGAGATGGTTTCAGGAGACATTAATTTATATTGGAAACCAGTAGCAAGCAGCACTTGCTGAAGCTTCCACTTTACAACCATTAAAGGTACAGGTGCCATCACCACAGTTTTCATCCTAGCATCTTTAATTTGGAACTACCGAGGCATTCACTTCTCATACAGGACAAATCCCTAAATGTCCCCCCTATCAATATTACCTTCTTCCTACTGTTATTATTTGAAACACAACAAGATGAGTCGAGAGCAGACAAAATTACTCTGCTGACTGTTGTATTGGATCACACGTCGGACACTTCCCAAGTGACTTCTTCCTCTTCCTCTTCCTTCTTTGATACACAACAAGACTGGTGCACAGCAAACAAGATCCCTATGCTGGCTTTTGTATTTGATCACACCTCGGACATTTCCCAAAGTATCAGCAAATAATGTGTACAAATCCAAGTACAGTGGCCTTTGGCAGTTAACAAATGGTAATGTTTTCAGCACTGATTGTTTTTAAGTGCAGGCCAAGGTTTTTAGGCACTGCATCATCATCATCATCATTTTTATTTATCGTGTCATCAGCAACTAGACATTTGTATTACATTTTTAACAAAAAAGAATCATCATCATCATCATATATTGGAACCCCTCAAAACGATTTAATCAATCACCAGTGTTCCAGTGTTCCGAAGGAAGATCGATGCTTTTGAGCTGTGGTGCTGGAGGAAAGTGCTGAGAGTGCCTTGGACTGCGAGAAGATCCAACCAGTCCATCCTCCAGGAAATAAAGCCCGACTGCTCATTGGAGGGAAGGATACTAGAGACAAAGTTGAAGACAGCAAAGCCTAGAGAAGACAATGATGCTGGGGAAAGTGGAAGGCAAAAGGAAGAGGGGCCGACCAAGGGCAAGATGGATGGATGGCATCCTTGAAGTGACTGGACTGACCTTGAAGGAGCTGGGGGTGGTGACGGCCGACAGGGAGCTCTGGCGTGGGCTGGTCCATGAGGTCACGAAGAGTCGGAGACGACTGAACGAATGAACAACAACAGTGTTCCAGTGGAATGTAAGTGTGGTCCCATCTTTAAATTGATAATAAAATAATCTGGGCCAGATTTGCAGAGAGGAGGCAGTTTTCTTATATATATATATATATGTGTGTGTGTGTGTGTATATAATTTACTATACTTGTATACCGCCTTTCTCAGCCTATCGGTGAATCCAAGTCACATAATATCAAAATACAAATTAAACATTACAAACAATATAAAAACCACAATAGAAACAATAAAACCAACATTGTCTCCTAGTTAAAAACATTGTCCAATTCCATTGTCAAATGATTCCAATTCCTATGTCAGTTATTCTGCATTTGTAAACGCTTGCTCAAACAACCATGTTTTAACTTGTCTTCGAAACGCTAAGAGTGAGGGAGCCGATCTAATCTCCTTAGGGAGCGTGTTCCATAGCTGAGGGGCCACCACTGAGAAGGCCCTGTCTCTTGTCCCTGCCAGCCATAGGGCGGGATTGAGCGTAGGGCCTCCCCGGACAATCTTAAAGTCCTAGATGGTTCATAAGGGGAGATGCGTTCAGACATTATATATAAATATATATAATGAAAACTGCCTCCTCTCTGCAAATCAG